GCTTGACCTCTGCAGCCCCTGACACTACCCCTTTGGAACATTTTTATTCATCCCTTGCAGGGCAAAAAAAAAAAAAATCCTGGTTCCACAAAGAAGGGTCCGCCTACAAGTTAAGACAGCTCCAGGCGCCCCTAGGCTTTACCTCACAGTTGAGCCAGGAAAGAACTGGGCAGGTTAGTGGAGTAGCAGCCTGTCTTCTCATTGCCCAAATGAAGGAGTGCATTAGGCTGTCAGCCCCTCCTGGCTCATGAAGACCTCCAGGAAGAGATCAGCAGCCCAACTGCCTCCAGGGTTGATATAGATTGGATGGCAGGACCTTTGGAATCAGATCCAGATTCCGGGCCTAGCTCAGTCATGTCCTGTGATTTTGGGCAAGTTATCTGGCTTCTCTGACCCTTATCTGGATTCGTGGGTAATAAATTCCACTTCTCAGGGCTACTAATCCTTAGAAAGGGCCTAGCACATAAGAAAAGCTCCTGCCCTTTCTGTCTATTGCTACACACACACACACACACACACACACACACACACACACACCATTCCCAGAACTGTGGCTCCTAAACTCTCCCCACAGCTCTGCCCTTGGGCTTACTGGGTGTGGCAGCATTTCCTCCAGAAAGCCTCTGCAAGGAACTGCCTGACTCCCCTCTGCCAGCTCTAGCTGAAGGAAGCAGTCACAGCTGGACTTGTGCCAGGGGAGCTTCCTTCTTAAACTGGTTTGGGCTGGACCTTTCCTGCTCAGCACTGAGCATCTCCCTCTAACCCAGTCATGGGTCAGCCAGCCAGAAGATATGTCTGCAAACCGCAGAAGAGGAAAGTTCAAAGCATTCCTCAAATACAATAGTGCATTCCTAGCCCAAGGTCCAATCCTGGAAGCAGTCTCCCTCCCCTGGTTTGGGCAAGGTATTAGACAGGAGCAGCAAGGCCAACTAAGCCTGAACTTAGTCTGAGGCTTTTAGCGGGTTTTGTTTTGTTTTTTTCAGGCTAGGCAGAAGGAAAGGAAGGGAGTGTGAGGCAAGCCCCTCCTCCTCCATTCTTCCTCCTCAGTGGTATCTTTGACAACTCCTCTGCTGGATGGAGTGTGGATGCTGAGCAGAGAGACTGAGGGTAACAGTTGACAGGCTGGCATGAGGCCTGATTTGATGCCATTGCCTCATGGTGAATGCAGCAATTGCGTCATTCAGGACCCCCACCATCTTTGGAAACTGGATTGGAAAAGGGAACCCTGGAAATGACCAGTTGAGGGCCTCTGAACAGCCCTTACTCCTAACCTATGCCATCAATAATTCTGCTTTGAACTGGATGTGGTGGCACACTCCTGAAATCCTAGCACCTTAGAAGGCTGCAGGAGGATCACAAGTTCAAAGCCAGCCTTAGCAACTTAGTAAGACCCTGTCTCAAAATAAAACATAAAAAGGGCTGGGATGTGGCACAGTGGTTGAGTGCCCCTGGGTTCAATCCCTGGTACAAAAAAAAAAAAAAAAAAAATTCTGCTTGAACAAAGAAAATCCTGGCAATCTCTGGGACCCATGGATATGGACAGGTTTGGGTCCCAGAAAGTCAAGGGTCTCAGAAAGCCTATCAAACTTGGGCCCAATGAATTAATCACACCAGGCTCGGGGGAGGGAACAGCCAGACTATGCCCCCTCCTACCATCAACTTTATTATTTTACCTTTCATATGTAGGTCTATAATCCATCTGCAGTTAATTTGAGGATATGATATGAACTCATTTTTCTTCACATGAACATCTAATTGCTTCAGCTACATTTATTGAAAAGACCATCCATCCTCTACCATATTGTAATGTCACCTTCATCATAAATCAAGTGACCTCATATGAATGGGTCTATTTCTGGATTTTCTCTTCTTTTCCATTAGTCTTTTTGTCAATCCTTATGCCAATTCTATACTATATTAATTATGGTAGCTTTATAATAAATCTTGATATATATTTAGTATAATCCTCCAACTCTGTTCTCTAAGATTGCCTTGGCTATTCCTGGTTCTCTGCACATTTTAGAATCAGTGTGTCAATTTCTGCCCCCAAAAAAAATCTGCTGAGACTGAAATAAATCTGTAGGTTAATTTGGGAGTAATTGACACATCCTGCAGTATTAAATCTTCCAGTGTACGAACATTCTTAAATATCTTTAATCTTTGTATTTTTCAATGTAAAGATTTAAAAAGTCTTTCATTAGATTTATTCCTATGTTTTATATTTTTAAATAAAATAGTAAATGGTATCTTTTTATTTCATTTTCTATTTTTTGGTTTCTGGGATATAGAAATTAATTGACTTGTTTATGTTCACCTCGAGTTGAGGACTTTCCAAATTTACTTATTTAATCCCAGTAATTCATATATAGAATTTTCTGTATGTTCTACTTATACAATCATGTTGTCTACATGTTATTGGTCTTACCACTTTTCAAATGGTCCTAGCAGCCTTTCTTTAGGTTGCTAATTTCACAATAGTTAATGACTGCTGGTTTCTAAATCTCCATCCATTCCCACAAAGCCTGAGCTCAACTAACTGCTTCTGCCACCCTCACCACCATAAGCCCTGGACCTAGGACTCTGGGCTGTTCTTTCTCCTCAGGTCTTTCCTACTGACTCTGGGGAGATTTTCTTCTGAAATGGCTATTAGAGTGAACTCAAGAGGGGAATTCTCTTATCACTTAGACCACTTGCTAAAGATAGTCTCCCCATGAGTTCCTGCAGCAAGAGCCAAGAACTTGGTTGGGGTAGGTAGTTGGGGGAGAGGGTTGTTCTGAGGTCACAGTCTCAGCCAGATTGTCTTCAGCTCTAGGTGTGTCTTTGCACCTCCAGAAGTCTTCACAGAGTTAAGGAGGAGGAAAAAAGTTCCGCTAACTAATCCAGGGATAGAGGGTCTGTCCAAGAGGCTGCAAGAATAGCCCTGCTGATGAAGACCCTTCTGTAGTAAAAGGCAAAGGCTGGAGGGTAAGCATTCAGATTTTACTAAACCATGGAGAGTCTGCATAATGGAGATATGGTAAGGTCCCCAGATCCCCAAACCCAGAAATCAAGCATTACCCTTGAGAGGTAAATCGGAGAGGATTTGGCATCACCCTCAAGTGTCAGTATCCAGAGGCCTTGAGCTTAGAGGCAGGTATGTAAAGAGAGGCAAGAGATACAGTCTAATGGGACTGTACTTACTTCATACTCCCTAAACCCTATCTTCTATGAACCCCATTTGATAGACAAAAGAATCCTGAGATTCAGATTATCTAATTAACTTGTTCTTAGTCTCTTCAAATTCACGGGAGACTCCTTACAACTCAAACAGGTACATTTCATTCCAAAGTCCTTGGGCTATAGGGGTCTCACATCTGTAGCTCTGCCTTTAGAGACTGTTAGGGAGATTCCTGGACCTCAAGGTCCAGAAAAGTGACTGGCATTCCAAGAGGTGTTCCATGAGTCCAGGTGGGCTCCTAGTGGGGAAGTGGTGGGCTGTTCAGGTTCTCTGTCTTTCTGAGTGGACACCAGCACCCTCCTGGACCTGTGACTCTCTAGAATCTGTGAAAATGACCAGGGAAATGCTATTTCCAGAACAGAAGCCAAAAGAGAATGTGACGGCCCCATACTTAAGATCTTTGTATAGATGAGTAATTCAGACATTCAGATTGAGAAACATGCTAAGATGGGTGAGGTACAATATATTTGTAATCCCAGCTACTCTGAGGCTGACTTAGGAGGATCATTGAGCCCAGAAGTTCGAGTCCAACCTGGGCAACATAGTGAGGCCCCATCTCTCTCCCTCTCTCTCTCTCTCTCTCTCTCTCTCTCTCACACACACACACACACACACACACACACACATACACACAAATGGAAACACATTTCATTTTTTCTTAAAACCTGGAAGTGACCTTTCCTGAATCCACTGAACTATTTTAATCACTTTAGGTCCAAAAGCATTCAAGTAGGCACCCTGACCCTGTCTCCCATCAATATGTGGTTCCATTTCAGGGCTCTCCATGTGGCAAGGCTAGAGCCCTTTGGAAGTCACTTTCCCACCTAGGTTTCCAGTTTCTCCCTCTCAGAGCTAGTCACATTATCCTTTGCAGGCTCAGTAGGACCTCAGGCAAATGCCAGATCAGCAAGGGGATGCTGGCTTGACACCAAGTGAGGTTTTGTGCAGTCAGAGTTCTGGGACCAGAGAGGAATCCCTAGGGAAGCGGGGCTGTCTGACTTCCCAGGAGAGCTTACCCTAGGATGGCTGACCTGAACCTACCCCAAGCTAATCGCCTTGGCTCAGGGCTTTTCTGGAATTGAGACAAAGTACCTGGGAAGTATGGGAGCCCCTTGGGGGTTCCCTGATCCTATGATACATGGTCCCAATCTGGGCAACTAGCCCTAGTTAGTTGTCTTTTTATGAATGTTGTGTATCACATTAACAGGTTTTCTGTTGTTGAACCATCCTGGGACAAACCCAGACAGATTGTGATAAACAAAAGCTTTAACATACAGTTGGATTCAATTTGCTACTTTTGTTCAGGGGTTTTCATATTTATGTTAAGTAAGATTGGTTCAAATTTTCCTCTTGTATTCTTATCTGATCAAAGAATCAGGGTCATACTTGCTTCTTAAAATGAGTCTGCCAGCTTTCCTCCCTCTTTCCCCTCTTTTTAATTATTTGACAGTAGAATGATATTTGTAATGGGCTTTGGATTTTAAAAAACACACCCCCAGAGTCTGCCTCCTCAGCAGGAGACTTGGCACAGACCAACAAACAGACACCTCTTTCCCTTGTTCCTAGTCTTCATTGGCTTATTTATGGCCCTTTTGTGGTTCCTGAGACTGTTTTGCTGGGAACCAGCCATTTCCCTGAGGAGGTAGGGATGACAGCAAAGGGCTAGGGATGGGTTCTGCTGGGGGAATTAGGAGAGAGCTCTGTGCCTGGCACTCCAGCACCCACTGCAGCTACCCCGTGTTTCCTGGGCCAAAGCTCAACCTGACCCTCCCTTTGCAGGCACCATGTTCCGTAAGAAAAAGAAGAAACGCCCAGAGATCTCAGCCCCACAGAACTTCCAACACCGTGTCCACACCTCCTTCGACCCCAAAGAGGGCAAGTTTGTGGGCCTCCCACCACAATGGCAGAACATCCTGGATACACTGAGGCGCCCCAAGCCCGTGGTGGACCCTTCACGCATCACACGAGTGCAGCTCCAGCCCATGAAGGTAAAGGGGGTGGGCGTGGATGGCGGCCAAGTTCAGCCTCTCCCACTCTGCAGAAAACGGCTGGTAAAACCCCAGAGGCACCTGGAGGAGCCACCTAGTTATCAGCGTGGATGAGCCAGCTGTCTTAATTTCCTGGTAATCAGTCTCTCTCCCTGGGGATCCAGGGAGGCAGAGTCTGGGGAGTCCTTTGCATGGTGATAGGGATGCCAGATTTAGCAAATAAAAGTACAAGATAGCCAATTAAATTTGAATTTTAGATAATAGTCTTTAGTACAAATATGTTCCATGCGATATTTGGACCTATAACCTCAAAGGGATTGGCGCTTTCACAGACTGGGGCAATTCAGTTGTGGAGGTCCAGATGGGTATATCTAAGAGCCTGGTTGGGGTCTGGGTCATGGGCGCTGTCAGGGTAGGCCATGAAGCTAGTGAGTGTGGAGAGGGCCCCTGGACTGGTACTGGAGTTCTCAGCTGGGGGCTTTGCATATGACTCTGAAGGCCACAGATAGAACTAGAGAATGGCGCTCCCTCCCCCTGTGCTCCTCAGTTCCCCATGCTCAGCAGGCCACGCTACTTGTCATGTTGTAACCCCATGGTTACCCACCTGCCTGCCCTGCTGACAAGGACCTTCTCCCTGTATCCTTGCACACTGCACCAGCACAGGCCTGACCCATTCAGGGCCCTAGTAAATGACTTGAAAACCAATGAATGGGTGGATGATACAAGGGAGGTCCATAGGTGTTCCTCCCCAAGGCCCCAGAGAAGGCTGTGACCCTGGTCTCCAGGCCAGCCCTCCCTGCCTCGAAGGGGCTGCTCACACTCTTCTCTCTTCACTCTCCAGACAGTGGTACGGGGCAGCTCGGTGCCAACAGATGGCTACATCTCAGGGCTGCTCAATGACATCCAGAAGTTGTCAGTCATCAGTTCCAATACTCTCCGTGGTCGCAGCCCTACCAACCGGCGGCGGGCACAGTCTTTGGGGCTGCTAGGGGATGAGCACTGGGCCAATGATCCGGACATGTACCTCCAGAGCCCCCAGTCTGAGCGCACTGACCCCCACAGCCTCTACCTCAGCTGCAACGGGGGCACACCAGCAGGTCACAGGCAGATGCCATGGCCTGAACCACAGAGCCCACAGGTCCTGCCTAACGGGTTGGCCACCAAGGCACAGTCCCTGGGCCCTGCTGAATTCCAGGGTGCCTCACAGCGCTGCCTGCAGCTGGGCGCCTGCCTGCAGAGCTCCCCACCTGGCACCTCACCCCCTATGGCTACAGGGAGGTGGGGCGTGAAGGGTGCCAAGCATGGCTCTGAGGAAGCCCGGCCACAGTCTTGCCTGGTGGGCTCAGCCACAGGCAGGCCAGGTGGCGAAGGCAGCCCTAGCCCAAAGGCCCAAGAGAACAGCCTCAAGCGCAGGTTATTTCGAAGCATGTTCCTCTCCACTCCTGCCACGGCACCTCCAAGCAGCAGCAAGCCAGGCCTTCCACCACAGAGCAAGGTAGGTCAAGCGGAGCTTCCTTCTGGGGCTACTCAGGAGCACAAGGATCCTGGATTGGCAAATGGCCACAGGGAATGGGTGTCAGAAACACAGGACCTGCCTGGTCTTTCCCACTTATAGAGTCAGGGTTAGGAAGAATATGAGGAATCAAAATGATCAACAAACTAGGTCAACCTCAGCTGAGGATTGTACCCGGAACCAACTGAGCTCTTGTCCTCCAAAGGCTTAGCGTGTGAGAGTCGGAGGTTGTAAGCCAGGTCCTCTAACAAGAGTGGGGGTACCCTGGCTGACATTCCTGTGGGGTCTGGGAGGACTACTCCAGGTATCAGACACTCCCCTGGCAAAGAGGCATCTTTAACCACAAGCCCAAAGCAGACCATCTTGACCTGCGATGCCCAGCAAGCCCCCAGGCTCCAGAAGAGGTGTGTGCTCCTGCCCCATCTGCCTCCCTCTTCTCAGAACTCTTCCCCAGCACACCCCCAAGACTTGCAGAGGGGCTTCCTGGATGCATCTCCCTCAGGTGGCAGAAGTGTGCATAGTAACGCCTCCAATGAGTAGGGCTCCTGCCACTCTACCTTGTTCCCTTTGTTCCTTTGCCTTTTCTTTTGGGTAGGAGTTGTTTTGTTTCATATTTCTGTAGTTATTTCTTTTCTAGTATGTGTGCTACCTGAAAATCCAGAGAATTGAATTTTCCCAGATCTGGAAACCGCAGGAGAACTGACTCCTGGCACTTGTGATGGCCTTAAATACATCTTTTTCTTGTGAGAAAGGAAAGAATGAGGGAGTCCCAGTGGTGACTGTTTGGCAGGCAAATTGGAGCATGTTTTTGCTTCTTACCTGCCCTATGGCATATCGTACATCCATAGACACAATCACGTCTTTTCCCATTTGGCAAATGAGAGGACCTACTTAGTGCCTCCAATGAGTCAAGGAAGGAAACAGAGAGAACTTGCTCAGGACCGTGCATGCTGTCCTGGGACCTCTGGACTCTTTTTTGACTACAAAGCTTTACAACCTTTGGCAGCCAGATGTCTTCTAGGTCCTGAGCATCAGGCAGAATGAGCTGTGGCTACAGCAACAGGGTTTTCAGTCAGGCCAAAGAAACAGTGGCTGATACAGTGTGAGTGACTCCTGCCTCCTAGGACAGATTTGGGAACTAGATTTGGGAACAAGTCTCTGCTTCCCATGTTAGCCATGGCATGAGTGTGTTCCAGCCTGAATGGGGGTGGGAGGTTTGGGAAGTGGCCAGGAACTACAGACTTTCTAGTTTCCTGCCGGCTGAGGCACCCAGGGAAGGTTCTGGGCTTCATGCACTCCAGTTCCTGTTTCACTAGGACAAAGGACAGTGGTTTGGGTTCTGCATAGGACATGGTTTGAAGTGTTCCTGTCATATCCCTGTGAGCTTAAGGGTCTCTGGAAGGCTGTGCACATGGGGAGATATCTCCCCACTCCAAACTAAGGTAGGAGCAGGGTAGTGCATACCACTAGGGAGTCCTGCTGGATGGGCTCCAGGGATTTGAAGAAAAGGAGTGCCAAAACTAGACTGGGCACTGACCTGCATCTGTTGGTTGCGGCCAGTACCCCACAGCCAGGCACAGGCCTGTTTGTCCCTACATGCTTAGAACCACCATGGGTACACCACTGCTGGGTGTGCTAGGTGCCTCCACAGTAGCTGATAGTGGTCATCTTGGGCTTGGGGGTAGCACAGTACCAAATCCAGAGGAGTGTTTCTTCTGGGTGCTTACCTTTCTAGATAAGTGCTCTCAAGCCAGACCTCTGAGCTGCTCTGAAAGCACTAGTGACATTCAGAGCAGATAGTCCTTTGTTATGAAAGCTGCCCTGTGCTTTGTAGCAGCATCCCTAGCTGGAACCCACTAGATGATAGTACCACTCCCAATTGGACAACCAAACATGCCTCTAGATACTACCAAATGTCCCTTGAACAGAAAAATCAGACACACACACTCCCTGTCCTTGGTTGAGAAACAATGGTTTAAGTTGCAACACAGATGGGAAATATTAAGCTCTCCCATCCACCCCAGGCCACAAGCCCTCTGCGCTGGACACCCAGGAGCTGGCTCTGGGCACTCATGGTAGCTCCCACAGCAACAGCCAGGTCTTGGTGCCCTGGGCTGTCAGGCTACTAAGGCATGGCTGTGGGAGGTCTGAGTACAGCCTCAGGGCTCCTGTTCTCAGCCCCTGGCAGAGCAGTCTGTAATAACTCACTGTGGCTAAAGAGCAAAGTGAGCAGGACAGATAGGAGCTTTGGGGATGTAGAAGTGGTTCCACTTAGAATCAGAAGGGCAACATTGATCAAGCACCTACGTGTACCATATACTCACAGCAAGGACACATGGCAGCAACGGGACCACAGCAAAGTGGTAAGCCCTCCATGAATGGCTTTTTGCTTTTTAAAACTGTTAAGATACAGCCTCTGCCTTTAGGCACTTATGGTACAACCCACTCAGCTGGGGCCAAGGAGGGAAAAGAAGCATTACTGCCTTGACATATACCTCTTCAATTAGCTTCCTTTCCACAAGGTCTCAGTCACACTAGAAACCATCAATCCAGAGCCAATTCCATCATGTGTTCCCCTTTTCCTTTCTTGGCATGGTTTGATAAGTGAAGACCCATCCAGCCTACCTCCATAGCCCAAACTATGTTGGTGTAGGGCTCCTGACTGCACCATTCCACCCCTGGCCCCAAGATGCAGGCTTTGTCCCTGAACTCAGCCAGCACCAGCAGTAGCATCACCACAGGGGCCTTGACAGAGAGGAGAGGGAGGGAACCCTCTTCCTGGCTCCTCCATGTGGCTTGTCTCTTCACACATCCACAGAAGTTCCGGAGGCCAGAGGTGAAGGACATCATTTATAGCCTTTTTTAGGAATTCCATGATGGAGAGAGGACAAGGGCCATTAGAGAAACCTGAAGAGGAGCTGTAGGTGGCCTTCAAGCTCTACCCCACCACACATAGATGATGATCAGAGAGCACATTTTCTGAGTGAAGTCCACACTCGCAGACCAGCAGACAGCCTCCTTAGCCCTGAGCCTTTTTACAGAACCTCCAGGGGCTGGCAAGGGTGATTGTGTGATAAAATGTAGCCTGTTGCCCCTCCCTTCCCTCCCTGATCCTTTTGATATCTCATGTAACCTCTGCTTTTAGGACATGACATCACAGACTCTGTACTGGCTATGCTGCCTTGAGTTCCCTACCCTCCTCCACCTACCCACATCTACCCATATCTACCTAAATCCCCTTCCCACAACTCCTGGAAGCTTTCCGAGGCCATTAAAATACATCTCTACTCTAAGGACTATCTGAATCAGGCTCCAGTACACAGAAATCTGCAGTTTATCTAACTCCCCAGGTCACTTCACATAGCCCCTTCAGTTTTAGGGAGGATACTGGGCTTAGAAAGGGTGGCTTGCTAAAGCAGACTAGTACTGAAGCTTAGATGCTGATGCCCCAGCCAAAAGTCCCGCTCATTCATTGTACAGAGAGAAAGAGTGTGAGGGTTAGCTGCTGGCAAAGGAACGGCCTTACTCTTTGACTATGCACACCAGGGATAGAGTAAGTCCAAGCAATTCTGGCAGGTTTTCTGGCTCTTGCCCTGCAAAGGTTGAGCCTGTCAGAGGTAGGTGCCCCTTTGGTGCACAGGCAGGCATGGGCATGCAAAACCGTCACATCATAGCCTTCTCTGGCAGCACCCTACCCTACAGGGGCACCTGACTTGCTTGACCGCCTGGCAAGGCCAGGAACTGTAGGGAGTGGAGCCCTGAAGCTGTCAGACCCTAGCCCTGCTTCTGGGAGCCCAGTCACAACTGGCCCTGCCCAGGGCCTCTTCCACCCACATGGGGAGCCTCAACCCAGCTTCTCAAGAGTAGCTCCAGAGCACAGAAGCAGGACTTTGCCTTACAGTAGCCTCCCTGGGGCCCAGCTGTCATTCACCTAGGAAGAAATACCCAGCTGGAAGACACCCCAGGGACTTGGATCCTTCCCAGGAGCAGCAGAGTGAATGTAAAGAGTGTTGTTGGCCTGCTCATTTGGGAGTGTGGCAGGAATGGAGCTGCTTCCTGAGTACGACTGGTTGGGCTTCAGCTTCATTTGAAAATCTTTGCTCACAATATCTCCTCAACTTGTTCTGAAGCCCTGCCTGTATCCAGAGATCACAGTGGCTGCCCCTTGCCTCTGGGAAACTTGCTCCAAAATCTCCCATAGCCATGTCCCTACCTGTTTCTTTCCTTATCTTTGCAGCCCAACTCTGCTTTCCGACCGCCACAGAAAGACTCCCCTCCAAGCCTGGTGGCCAAGGCCCAATCCTTGCCCTCAGAACAACCCATGGGGACCTTCAGTCCTCTGACCACCTCGGACACCAGCAGCCCCCAGAAGTCCCTCCGCATAGCCCCAGCCACTGGCCCACTTCCAGGTCGGTCTTCCCCAGCGGGCTCCCCCCGCACCCGGCATGCCCAGATCAGCACCAGCAACCTGTACCTGCCCCAGGACCCCACAGTGGCCAAGGGTGCCCTGGCTAGTGAGGACACGGGCATTGTGACACATGAGCAGTTCAAGGCTGCACTCAGGATGGTGGTGGACCAGGGTGACCCCCGGCTACTGCTGGACAGCTACGTGAAGATTGGCGAGGGCTCCACGGGCATTGTTTGCCTAGCCCGAGAGAAGCACTCTGGCCGCCAGGTGGCCGTCAAGATGATGGACCTCAGGAAGCAGCAGCGCAGGGAGCTGCTCTTTAATGAGGTGGGAGGACAGGATGGGACATGGGTGGGGGCAACTGGGAGAGAAATGAGCACATAACCAGGCCGGACATCTGCGGGCCTGGGTGGTCAGGTGGTCATGCCTCAGGGGCACTGTGCCAGCACTCAGGTTCCCTTTCACCCCCAGGTGGTGATCATGCGGGACTATCAGCACTTCAACGTGGTGGAGATGTACAAGAGTTACCTGGTGGGCGAGGAGCTGTGGGTGCTAATGGAGTTCCTGCAGGGCGGGGCCCTCACAGACATCATCTCCCAAGTCAGGTGGGCAGCTGGGAGGCTGGGGCCCTGAGGGAGGCTCTCCCCACCACTGCTTTGGAAGGGGGGTTGTGGTGCCTGTCATATTGTTTGAGGGACCCCCTACCTGTTTGAGGTAACTGAGATCCAGAGATTTCAAGGGTGTGAGAAGAGAAAAGTAGCCCAGGGCTAGGGCCTGAGGGGGCTGCTGGACACATTTCCTGGGAGATGTGGAGCCCTGTGCCAGGGACACCCTTCTTCCCAGTCCAGCTGCCCTGCTAAAGTTATCATTCTCTTCCCTCGTGGCCCTGCTGACCTTGTCCAGGCTGAATGAGGAGCAGATCGCCACTGTGTGTGAGGCTGTGCTGCAGGCCCTGGCCTACCTGCATGCCCAAGGTGTCATCCACCGGGACATCAAGAGTGATTCCATCCTGCTGACCCTTGATGGCAGGGTAGGCCCTCCTTTCCTGCTCCTCCCTTGCATCTCTCCTCCTGGTCCTCCTGGTCCTCCTGGCCCTCCATCTACTCCCCTTTCAACCCCAGGTGAAGCTCTCGGACTTTGGATTCTGTGCTCAGATCAGCAAAGATGTCCCTAAGAGGAAGTCCCTGGTGGGAACCCCCTACTGGATGGCTCCTGAAGTGATCTCAAGGTCTCTGTATGCCACTGAGGTAACCATTCCGCCCACCAATGAGGCCTCCCCAAAGAGGCTTGAAAACATGCAATTCCTCTGCCCTGAAGCTGTCAGACCCTAGCTGTCTTCCTTGCCCTGCTTCTGGGAGCTCAGTCACAGCCACAATAACTCTACAGTCCCTGCCACAGTAACTCTGGTTCTCAGGTACCCTCTCAGTCAGTACCTGGCACCCTTTCTGATGAGCTGCTGTAACCTAGACTTCACTTCTGGGAGTGGATCCTCCAACTATTCCCCCTCCACCAGCTCAATAGCAAAGTGGGGTGTGGCCAGGCTTCCCCAATCATGATGCCCTCTCTCAGAGACTGGCTGACAGTTCTATCCCTATGGTCTCTAGCCACTAATGCAGGAAGTAACAAACCACTGGGCAGCTGATCAGGGGAGGAAGGAGATAGGCACAAAGACACCAAGGAGAGTTGAGACCAGCTGCTTCTTCCCATCCAGCATGCTGCTACTAAGGGCCAGGCTACAGCAGTAGGATCAGGGATATTCTTCCCCTGCAGGTGGATATCTGGTCTCTGGGCATCATGGTGATTGAGATGGTGGATGGGGAGCCTCCCTATTTCAGTGACTCCCCAGTGCAAGCCATGAAGAGGCTCCGGGACAACCCCCCACCCAAGCTGAAAAACTCTCACAAGGTAGGTTGGTGTATAACATGTGACCCCATTCTTCCTGTGGTGAGAGGACCAGAGCCTATACTCCCATCCTCTCCCTCCACCAAAACCAGAGGGTTCAGTATCTTTCTCACACAAAACCTGCACCTGGATGCAGAGCCCCATTTGCGCACACACTCCCATGTTCATTCCAGTTTCCCAGCTACAGCAGCCAAGATGCCCTGCAGCAGGCACTGACAGGTGCCCAGAGGCACCTATAAGCAGAGAAAGTAAGGAGTCTCTTCTTTCTAGGGCAGCGGGTGGAGGGGACCAGAGAAGCCTAATTGAGCATCAACCCTTCTACCCCATTTGTCGGGACCCACACTGTGATACAGTGTTCCTGTCTATCATAGCAAATGGCTTGTCCTCCCTTTGGCACATTCTGACCAGAGGTAGAGCTTTCCCCTTAGAACCCTATAAATGTGTATTATATTTAAGCCTTTCCTGCCAAATCCATCCCCAAACCTGCAGACTTTACCTGTGGTCACCCCCTGCTGGCAGTTCAACACAGGACTGCTAAATGGCACTGCCATCTGGTGGTTAGAGCAAGAATTGTCCCAGAGGGTTAAAGTCCATAACCAGCAGTTTTGTGACCCTCAAGAGAGTCCGCTGGGAGGACCAACAGGAAACATCTTCCAAGACAACTGGAACCTGCACTAGTAACCCAAAATAAACATATAGAGGAGACCTCCACATCTAATTCCCCAGAGGAGGTAGCCTTCTGTAGCAGCCTGACATCCCCAGATACCAGTTCAAAATGAACCAAGCCCTGCCTTAGAACAACAAAGAAAGCTCCCTTTTCAGGTCCCAGCTTGTACTTTTCTATTTTTCAAGTACTCCCTAATCTCTGTCCTCTTTTTTAGTCTTCACTTAAGCCTTATGTGGCAGACAAAAGAGGCATTCTTCATCATTAGCCCATTCTGCAGATAAAACTAAGGTCTGGAGAAAATTTCAACTTGCCTAAGATCAGGGATAGATCTGGACTAGATCTATCCGGGATAGATTCTGGACCCAGGACTGGATTATTGATGCCAGTTCCCTGCTCCTTCTGCAGAGCCACAGGGCCTGAATGCTGAGAGCTTTGTGAAGCCAGCCAGTGGAGTGGGCTGTACATGGACCCAGCTTCCTAGAGTCCCAGACATCTTAATTCCATTGCTTGGCAACTCCCATTACAGGTGAACTGGCCACAGTTCCAGGACTGATGCATCCTCGTTTACCTATTTGATAATCAAACAAGCTCTGAGCCTGGGAGGAACCAGGAAGTAAGCAACAAGAGAATTCGAAACTTTCAAACAATAATAGGCCAGGCAGTCAGGTCATTCCAAAGTAATTGCAAACCATGACTTCCCCTGGTTGCCCTGTCTCCACAGGTATCCCCAGTGCTGCGAGACTTCCTGGAGCGGATGCTGGTGCGGGATCCCCAAGAGAGAGCCACGGCCCAGGAGCTCCTGGACCACCCTTTCCTGCTGCAGACAGGGCTGCCTGAGTGCCTGGTGCCCCTGATCCAGCTCTACCGCAAGCAGACCTCCACCTGCTGAGCCCACTCTGAGTGCACCTGCCACCTGTGACCCACAGGCAGGGGACACTGGGCATCCAGCCCTCCAGCAGGGCTTGTCTGCCTCATTCTCTCAGTATTCTCTCCAAAGATTGAATGTGAAGTTCCACCCCTATCCTATTGCCCCTTTGCCCACTGGGCCAGGCCGGACCTGCCCCCTTGGTCTCTCTCCCTCCCCAAAGAATCCCCAGTTGCCTTTGGGATGATGGAGACCCCCTTCTGCAGGATTACCCTTTGTTATTTGCACAGGGATATTTCTAAGAAACAGAGACCAGCACTCCTAGCCTCTGTGGTCAGCAAGCAGAAAAGGCTGCTGCAGACTTTTTAAAGGTAGTTGTATACTAGCATCTCAAGCCACCCAAGAGGGCCAACTTCCCATCTTCACATGGATACTTGCTGTTCTCAGCTCCACCTTCAAGCCTTGGGGTCTCAGAGGGCCACAGGGAAGGTTTTTATTACCTGAACCCTACTTCCTCCCTTGGTCTAACTTCCTAAAGGCACAGTCCTGCCTATACCTGCTCCCTGCCCCACCTGTACTGCCTCTCCCCACACAGCCTATCAGAACTGTGAAAGGCCTGCTCCTAGGCCACGGGAGGGGAAAGGGGGCATTTTCTGAGTGAAAGAGAAAGAATGGGGTTGGTGGTAAAAGTGGCCTCACTACAGGTTGGAGAGAACATCACGTGTGTGTGAGTATGTGTATATGTAAGGGGAGGAAGGACCCAATGGCCTGTGTCCCTTCAGTTACCCGCAGCCAGCTTCAGGAGGGCTATCCGAACCTCTTCTCCCACTAGGCTCAACTCTGAAGGGACCCCCTTTCTTGGCCTGGCTCCCTACCTCTCAAGTCCCATGTTTCTTTTCAATCAGTGAATTGAGTCCACCAATGCTGGGGACTCACAAGATTCCTGAGTCTCTTGCATACTATGGAGTCTGAGAGCCAGAGACAGGAATAGTAAGGTGATAAACTTAGTTTTCCTGTCAGCTTCATCTCAATAGCCAGGTCATCAGGGACCCGTCCTTCAGACTATGGGCTGGGACAGAAGGTATACCACCTCCTGGGGGTCCATCACATCAGAAGGGGCACCCCATCTGTGTGAACCTGCTGCCCCAGCTGCCTCTGCAGACCCTTGCCCCCTTATCCTCCTTCCCTCTCCACCTTCTAGGCTATTGTGAGACAGGGAAGGCCAGGGAAGAATTCCAGGTGTCTGGACCCTTTCCAGATAATATTTTTAGATCTCTCTGTCCCCTGTGATCAGCTTTAGGGCAAAGAAGTTGCAAGGACATTTTTTTAAGGGTCAGGGTTTTAAAAACAAAAGGATCTTCCCTAGAAATTTTTGTGAATTGTTTGCACTTGTGCCTGTTTTAAATTAAACTGAGTGTTTAAACCGCTGGGCTTCCTGCTGTCTAGTATTGGAGCCAGGCTGTCGTGGAGCTGAATGCCCTGGAGTGGGGATCTGGTGGGCTTCCCAGCAGTCACTTGAGTCCACAGGACACCCAATTTCCCTGTTGACCTATGGGCTCTGGAAATAAAGGTACAGTAGGGCAACAGGAAGTAAAAGGCTTTTGGGACTGAAACACAAGAAACAGACAGGGTTCCTTCCCAGAGCTGATGATCCTTTCTGCATCAGCTTCTCCCTTCTTCTGCCCTGGACCTCAAACTGTTCATAGGAAGTGGCCTGAAACTGTTGCCAGTGAGAAAGCAGTCCTGTTTCATTTCTCAGAACCAAAGGAAACAGTGCAGAGAAGTGGCTAGAAATCAAGAAACCTGGGGTCCAGTCCTGAGTGGGAGGTTGGTAAAATTACCTTTCAACTTCTGGCTCCAACATTATTTCCATCCCTTCCTTCCAGTGATTATACCCAACCCACTGAAACTCCTTAGCCAGGAGCAAGGGGTCATGCAGACTGTCTCCCACTCCCACAGCATTCCCACCCAGACTGCAACCCCAGTACCACCAGCTCAGTTGGAAGCAACCCCTGTGACCTACCTTCAGAAGCCCACCACAGTAGAATGGGCAGGGTGGGAGCTGATGAAGGCAGGAGCCTCCACAGGAAGCGAGTATACCCTTCCATCCCTCCAAAGGGAGTCAAGAGAGGGTGGTAAGGCAAAGAGAGGCCAGTTTCACAATGGAATAACACTGGGTTTATTAACTATTCTTTTGAATTCCACCAGTCTTTTTGCCACACAGTTCACTCCAGAAAGGTGTGCAAACGTCCTTTAGTCTCCCACACAAATCAGTACTGAATTCTAGTGGCCTTTCATCTTCACAAAGATGAAAGCAACAAGAACAGGAAAAGCAAAATATTTAGCAAAGTCTCTTCTACAGTGGAGTGAGCTAGAGAGGACCCCAACCTCAATGGTTCCAGGCTGACAATGAGAGGACGTTGAGGGAGCTAAGTGTGGTGAGACATGGAAATTCTGCACAGAGACGGACCTAGAAAGGAGTTTGCAAGGACAGCAAGGCAGGCAGACACAGTTCAGACAGGGAGGATCTGCTGTGGCTATTTAGAAACATCATTTTCACCACTAAGCTCTTGGCCACTCCATAGAGTGAAACCCTCATGGCTGTTTATCCAATAAAGAGGGCCTGAGGTGACATTCACCCAGAAACTCACAAGTCAGCGGCACTGAAAAGATGATAGTACCTCTGATACAATGTGTGACCCAGGCCTCTTGCTTAAGTCAAAATACTTGTATTCTTACACCACTTAAAACTTCATTAATTAACACAGTTGAAAAGGGCATAAGTTGAGCAAGCAAAGATCCACAAAGAAGCAGTTTGCACTTGGGTGTCCAATTATCCCCCATCCCACCCATGACTCACTCTCTCAGGCTTTTTGGACACTCTTGATTTGTTCACTCACCACCCAGACTAGAGGACTGAAAAGAGGCATATCATAGGAAAACAGTGCATAATTGGCATGTCCCAAGATTCAGAAACCATAAGGGAAAGGTCGGTAGCTCCAGTTTTGGGGGGAAGAGAACAGGAGCTCTTAAGACTGGAAGCCTTAACTTGGAGGATTAACTTGGGGGTCTTAGTGAAGGGTCTGGCGCATGCTACAGTGTGAGTTTTTTCCGCGTTGTCCCAGTGAAGTGACTTCAAGTATCCGGATTTAATTTCTACAAGAGGAAAAGGATTCCACGGGTGAATGCCCACCGAGGGAAAAGTACACAGCGGTGATGATCCCAAATAAAATCAGAAGGCTGAGCCCCGAGCCAGGACGCAGCGAGGCAGATCTGCCACCAGGGGGCACAGGGAATCACGTCCAGTGTATGGGCTCGCGCGGCCTCGGAGAAGCCTGGGGAGTGGGGTAGGTGTGAGGATTAGCGATGACACCTGCACAAGGCCCCACCTGACTCCCTTTCCACCCCTCAATCCCAGACCCAGTTTTTCAGCGTCATTATCCCTTTGACCGGTTCGTTTGGAGTTATTGGTGAGAAACCTTCTGTTCCACAAAGACATCTTGAAAAGACCCCATCGTAGACAGGTGAAGGGCCTCACGCTCAGCCATGGGGGTTCACAAAAAGAGCCCCACCTGAGCCCCCCCGCAGACTGGGCGCACTGACACCTTTGCTGACGCTTCCACAGTGTGCTGTAGGGCCCAGCGATTTTCCTGACCCCCTCCTCCCGCCCCTGGCTAGGCGGGTACAAAGAGTAGGAGGACGGAGGCAGGGAGGGAGGGGACAAAGGACCAGACCAGGAAAGGGCCCTTAACCATGTCTCCGCGGTGGCCTCTGACTCACTAATCTGCCCAGTAATAAAAGCTGGAAGCTGCGCCGGGCCTGCATCCCACGCGGCGGGGCAAAGGCAGGGGTCCTTGGTCTCGACTTCTACCATCCATCATCGGCCCTGCCCTCCATTAACAGCCCAGCGAGAAGCAGGAGACGTTTAACAGGCTCCTTCCAGCTCTCCCCCGAGTTTGGTGTAATTTAAACCCGGACCTGCGGCTCGTGTGGGCTCCTGACTCCCGCGCGCAGCCGTTTAACGTCGCAAACACTTCAGTCAATTATCCCCCTCGCGGAGCTTCTATTTAAAGAGATATTGTCAGGTTCTTAAGCCTCGGATCAGACCTGCTGCTTTATGCTTCATATACAAAGACTCAAAACAAGAGTTCTTTGAGGGTTGGAAAAAATGCAATTAAGCAAAGCCTTCGCAACCGTTCTACCCTGCCGGAGCACCCACGTGCTGATCGCAGGGAGCTGGAAAGCGGTGGGGGCGGGGAAGTGCTAAGTCCTTTCCATTTCGAGTGAATGGATATAAGGGTGGGCCAGGACCTTGGACCTGGACAGGGCTTGAACCTCAAAGATGAAATTTAAATGCATCTGGAGCCAAGAAGGCAGAGTTGAGCTGGGTAGGATTTTTTGGGGGGGGACAGTTACCCTATAACGTGATAGAAGTTGAATCCCAGGACTGCCTGGGACAGAGGCAGAGGGAGTTTGTTACCTAGAAACTGGCTCAGGGGACAAGTGGTGACCAATATCAGAGGTGCTCTTGTCTCCCCTTAAAAAAAACAAAAAACAAAACAAACAAAAAAAAAACTGCTTTGTAAAGATGCAGGAATTTCTATCCCAGAAAACCTTAAAGAGCCAGATTTCTTCCTAATCAGCCTTGTGTCCATAAAGACTCTGGGGGCCCTGGGGCCTCCCCCTTCTCTAACTTAGGAGGAAGGGAGATTTTGGTAGCTTGCACATTATCCTCAGCATCAGTAGGCAAAGAGGGCTAGGCCTTGGTTCTCCAAAGCCAGTTTTGACATTTGCCTGGTTACCAGGGTATTGAGAAACTCACCAGGGGAAAGGGACCCGGCAGAAACCTAGGCAGACTGAGTCTTTGGGGTTAGAGTGAGGGTCCACCTTCCTGGAGGAAGACTGAAGCTATGAACCAGTCTTCCATATCTCACCTTCTGATAATAGAAAAGGCAGGTAGTAGGAAAGGTGAGAGATCTACACAAGGAATACCAAAGAGCACAAACGAGGGGTCCCTTTCTTCTGATGAAAGTCTTGCCTTGGCAGTGGGACAGGTTTTCAGATGGGGAGGGACTCCAGGAACAGGCTGCTGGAAAGTAAGGGACCTGGATAAAAGGGAGAAATCCCAGTGGAGCAGACAAGAGATTAGGGGAGCAGGGCTTAGTCCTTCACCTTTATCGCTGAGCCTGCACCACCACAGCCTCTGAGCCCCCTTGCCAAGGCTTCGGCCCAGGCACCGAGTGGGGCAGAGCGTTGGCCTCTAACTCCGGACCACTATCAGGCCCTGAAGCCTCCCCGACCAGGCTGGGGATGTCTGGAGCTGTGGAACGTCGGCGCAAACCCAAGCGGCCAGAGCCGGTGCCGCCCTCCGGGTGGGGACTAAGGCCAATGGGGGCTTGCACTAAGGTTGGGGGCGCTCCCTCCAGCACCTCATGTGAGCGCCACCGCCCAGCCCCCGAAGACTGGGGTGAGTTTGGTAGGGCCATCAGGGCCCCCGCCCGTAGACGTGCTGCCTCCTCCTCGGTCATGGCACCCAGGGCCAGGCTCATGCTCCGGCCCAGCTCCGGCCGCTCGCTGCCCTGTGCCCGGTGCCGGCCCGAGCCCTTGCCTGTTGAGCCAGCCTCACCACCATGGCCGTGGCCGTGACCGTGGCCGTGGCCGCCCGCCGCTCTCGCAAAGCGCGCCAGTAAAGGCCGCGGTAGGCGGCGGGGGCTGGGTCGTCGACGCTCTGGGCTGGGTTCGGGGGCCGGGCGGCCAGGGGGACTGTCGGAGTTGGAGCCCCGGGCCGCTGCGGCGGCTGCGGCTCGGCCCCAGGGCCCGGTGAGGGCCTGCACACAGGTCCCATGGCCACGGGCTGCGGCCAGCTGTAGGGCTGTGAGGCCCGCACGATTGGTGCGGTCGAGGCGAAGACCGAGGCGGCGGAAGGAGCGCACCAGGAACTCAAGCACAGCCCCGTGGCCGCACGCCGCCGCCCACATCACAGGGCTGTTGCCTGCTGAGTCGGCTGCCTCGGGGTCGCCGCTGAACTGTACCAGCAGCTGCACGGCGTCCAGGTGGCCTCGCTCGCATGCCAGGCTGAGTGCCGTGCGCCCGCGCTCATCCCGCAGGTTCACCGCCGCACCCTGCTCAAGCAGTAGTCGCACGAAGCGCGCGCGCATCGCGGGGTCTGGCAGCCCCACGGCCACCATAAGCGGCGTGCGACCCTGTTCTGCGCGGCAGTCGATGATGCTGCGGTCCAGTGCGTCCAGCACAAAACGGGCCAAGTGCACTTTGCCCGCCTGCATGGCCTCCAGGAAGGTGCGCGTACCCGCTCGGGGACATAAGTCCTTGGGCTTAAGCATGATCTCGACAGCCGCGCCGGGGCGGCCCGGCAAGTCCGCACGGGGGCGCCCCTGTTCCCGCTCCCCGCGGGGCTACAGCCCCAGCCCGCGCTCCGGTACCGCTTCCTCCGCGCGTGGGCTGCTGAGGCTGAGGTCCCGAGGTTCCTATTCCGATATATCAGCGGCTCGGGCAGCTCTTGAGCCAAACGCCTGGCGTCTCGCTGCTTCCTCTCCAGGTTTCCCCCCGGAGGTGTGGGTTGCTCGCTACTCCGGGGTCCTCTCCTGGTCCACCACTAAATAAAAGCCCAAGCTTGGTACCCTCCTGAGTCTCCTGACGTTGTTACGGTGTCCGACGCCCCTTGGTCCCTTGTGGCTTGGAGCCACGCCACTCACCCGCACACCGGGCAGCCCCCGCTCCCCTGCTGAGACGGTGGCGCCCGCCGTGCGTGCCTGCCTCCAACCCAGGCGGGGCGCGCCGCTCCTCAAGCTGCTGGCGCCGTTCCTCCTCCTCCTCCCCTCTTGCGGGGGCCGGGCCACGCCGGGGCGCTAGCTTCTTACTTAGGGGGTTCAACGGCGCGGGAGCAGCCGGCCGCCTGGATACCTAGCTTTATAGCCTCGGGGGTCTCCATGGCAATCGCTGTCCAAGAAGCGTGCTGCACCGTCAGGGCAGAGACAGATCGGGCTGGGGAGACCGCCCCTGACCCCCACCCCTTTGTGGGCCTTAAAGTTGGGGAGCGGCTCCTCCTCCGCGCTCCCCTGGGAATGCAGCGGTGGTTGCGGGGCGAAGGCGGGGGCTGTTCGCAGGGGGCCACATGCACCCGGCCGGGCCAATCCCAAAGTTGCAGTCTTCTCTCCCCGCCCTCCGCCTCCACTGGAGTCAGTGCCCTAGGCTCCTTAGAAACTGTCGGGACCGCGGCTCGTCGGGGAAAATTGAGAGCTGCCTCCAGCGGTCCTGGATGAAAGGAAACGGTACCACAACAGGGCAGAACTAGACCATGCACAAGCTGGGGGTGGCGGCGAAAGGCAAATGAGGCACTTGTGCTGCGGACGGGGGATGGGGGAGCTCAGTGTGGCTGGGAACTGCCACCCGAAGTGCAGCGGATCACTCCGTCACACACAATTGTGCCTCCCGCACAGGCTCACTTGGAGCAGGGAGGGGGGCGCGCTCTCCAATTTCAGACGTCTCCAACCTTGACAAACGCTATCGCGTGCCAGCTCCCAGTGGCTACAGCGAAGCAGGCAGGGCGTAGACTCCGCGGCAGTGGAGTCCCAGGGCAGAAGCCCTAGGACCCGAGAGTGTTGCAGTCGCGTTAGGACTCCTCAGCATTACCTCCCAGCTCCTCCAGCACCTGCTGCCACCCGCAGAAAGCGAGAAACACAAGCACAGGGCTCTGGCCCTGACTCTAACTGACCTCTAAGGAAAAGAGGAGATCATGAGATCTATCTTCCATTAGATGTGCAGAAAAACTGCCCACTACTCATTCTGCCCACTACTGCTCAGCCCCGGGGAGGGGAACACCACAGGCATAGGTTGAGGGAAGTTAGGGTGTCTCGGAGCGCTGGGAAGTGTGGAGAGGGTGAGTAGGCTTGGAATGGATAGTTTCAAAGTAAGAGTGAACCAGGCATCAATTACTGAATTTACTGAGGCTTCATGAGCAGGGCATTGTGTTCCCAGCCGTGAAAAATACAGAGGTAAAAAAAAGCTAGGTTCTGGAAGAAAGAGACTTCCTCTCTAAAGTGGAAGACAATGCCAGGATATAACTAGCTCCTGTTATCATCTGAGGGTTGAATAAGATGGAGTTGTGGGGAGGGGAGAGCTTTGGGTCTTCTGAAGATAGGGAGCAGAATTGGTCCTTGGCTCCTAAGAAATGAGGGAGACAGTTCTGACAGGGGACTGTGGAGGCAAAGGCACTGAAACAGGAAAACACCTCTAGGGGGCAGTGTTGAGAGCTGCTTTAAGATGTCCTGTCCCATAAAAGACAAGAGATTCAGGGAAGAATGAAGGCCGCCCAAGCAGAGCAATGTTAAGATGCTGTGCAGGAGGTGTGCTGGGAAGGTATGAGGTGAGGAGAGCAGGTGCTGCTAGGAAGATATTGGGCCCATGAACCTCTCTTCAGTCCCAGGCTCCATGGACACTCACCTTGTGCTCCAGTCATGCCCTGTAGTAGGGGTTTTCTACTCTACTCTGCCATGTGGGGAGCATGTAATGTATATCTGCACATGCTAAAAGCACCCCTTACTCTTTGTGCATTTTTTAAAAAACCCTTTGGCCAGGGGTCTGCCAGTTTTCTTTTATGATGTTATGGAAAGGGCACAGTATTTGATAACAAAGTTAAGTTCCAGCCTAGAGGAATGTGCTAGTAGGGTGACTCCAGGCCTTCACATTTTCATTTGCAAAAGGATGCTAATACCAGCCCTACCTGCTCCACAACAGAGCAGGGAACAAGTATATGGAAAAGCACTGCATGGAAACCCTTAAAGCCCAGTACTCCCCTCACTCCATACCAAGCAAGACTCTCCAGCCTCAGTAAGGCAGGGATGCTTTCCCATTTTGCTCAGCAGAGGAAAGGCTCCCCCGCCCCTCTTTAGGACTCAGTTTCCCTTTTCAACAGTATAAGGAAAATGGCTTTTTTCCTTCCTGTCTGCTTCCACGGTCAGGGGAAGGGGTATCTCTGGAATCTAGGTGTGATAGGCCAGGCTATGTACCCCCCCACCCCCAAGTGGAGAAGAGAAGCAGGAGAAAGCCTGCACCAAGGAGGTGCACTGGGTCCTAAAGAGCCAGGCCCCTCCTTCCTGAGCCTCCCTGAGCCAACTCAGTTCTTCTATACCTCAGTTCCCTGTGGTGGATGGAGACAGATCCCAGGAAGAGGAGGAGCTGCAGCAAGGCCACTTTAGGGTTTCACCTTGCTTGTGCTGGTTCTCTCTGGAAGGTACAGCCTGTTCCACTGGCCCCAGATGGCATGGCTGACCCAGCCAGGCCTACAGTGGGATGGGTTGTGGTGCCAGGTCTCAGGTCCTGGAGCCTCTGCACTGACTTCCTTTCCTATGGGCTCAGTATGTTCTGAACAGAAAAGAAATAGCAAAGCTGAAAAAAGCTGAGACTTTGCTGCAGAGCATAGAGGCACCAGCAGCCAGAATTAGAAGCTGTCGCTTAGAGAGCTGAAGCCTGACAGAAGAAGGAGCTGAGGCAGGCAGGGGGCAGGCAGGCACTCCACACACCCCCTCCCCTCCCACTTGCCCAACCTCTCCGCTGTCAGGCCTCAGGCTGGCAAAAGTCTTCCTCCCAGAGGAGCCTCAGTCTGCAAGTCTGTCACTCTGTCTGCAACTGCCCTCTCTCCTAGGCCCCCCCTTCTTTCTTCCTCAAGTGTCACCAGCCCCCTCACCCTGTCACGTTGCACTAGCTTGGCAGGGTTGGGTCTGGTAGCACGTGTCTGGGAGATCTAGAGAACTGCCAGAGGTACAGGGGGTGGGTGAGTCAGCAGGGGATCTGGCACTGAGTCAGCAAGGGGATTGGGCAATAGGTAGGGACCCTTTTCTTTGTGCAGTGGTGAGACAGACATGACAAGGGAACCTGACCCTAGCCTCACAGATGTACAGCAGGGATGGAACCCAGTGCCCTTCACCTGCTGCAGTGCCAGAGGGAGGACATCAACTCTTCCTTTGCACATCCCCTGATGTTAATTCATCTCTAGGGTCCAGAGATTGCATTTGCCCAGATGTTCAGCCTGCCTACCTCCTGCCCTTTTTTATAGACTATAGAAATAGGGAAGTGGGTATCTAGGTCTGGCCTCATGAAAAGCTGTGCAGAGATCCCTCCAGGAGGAAAGACTGCATCCCCTTCCCCATTCTTGGGCTTCCTAACTACAAGGGGGCACCAGTCTCTCCTGAGCAGTCACCTTCAATTGCTAAGCCTGTGGCTATCTTGGCTCTGGCTCTGGCTAATGCCTGTGTGCCTGGCTCAATGAGTTCCTCTAGGCCTGGATTCTCATCCAGAGGTTCTTCCCCAAGGGGTGAGAGGAGAGGAGAGATGGGGTGGCTGCCTGCCTGGAGGACTGAAGTTAGGGCTTTGCCCTGCGGGATAGGTGTCTACCCCCATTGTACCCAGCGTGTCTGCTGGCTGGTCAGTGCCAGGGGTTCTGTGAATGAGCAGTCTTCCATTCTTATCCTGAAGCTGGGATAGGTGGGACCCCAGAGGCCAGGTCCTTAGAGAGATGGGAAGGGGGAGGGTGCCCCTGTTTACTTTCCAGAGACACAGGTGCTCACCGCTAATGGCACTGCTGTAACTCTGTTAAGAAAACAACCTCTTCCCAGCATCACCCCCACCCTGCTTCTCCCAAGCCATAGCCTGTCCCATTTGGGATTTGGTACTGTGCTGTAGAGAGAGCGGCTTCCCACAGACCCTCTGCAACAATTTTTTTTGGGTCAAATACAGCTGCCACAGGGCTATGCATCTGGCCACTCTAGGTCTTCCCAAAGAGGTTCAGGTGGCCTAAAACTTTAGGCACCTTTGCACTAGGTCCTCATGTTCCAGTCCTGAGTGTGGAGACAAGAAGCGCCATATCTGTGTGGGGGTGAAAAGGGAGTGACATGATTTTCCAGTGATTGTGGCATCAGGCCAGCAAGAAGGGGAAGTTACTCTTCTTTAAGCCCAGAGGCAGGGCCATTCCACTGGGCTTTGGAAGGGACCTCACCCTGGGTTCAGTTTCCAAGGAATTCTTTTTCCCCAGCCAACTTCATTTCAAGAATACTCCACTCCCATATCCCCCATTTCCTAGATGGAGAACAGAGGCCAGGCTTAGGCAGGAAATGTTGGGTCATGGTTCTTTAGTAGGAGTAGGAAGGAGAAAAATAAATAAACCACAAATTCAGAAGGGAAAATGATGCTGACCTTGTCAGGCAAACTTAGTGGAATGCATGGTAGGAAGTACCCACCCCAGGCCTAGGGAAAGGGGTGAGCCAGGTTCAGGGTAGGAGCCCAGGAGGCCCAACCTCCATTCTCAACATCAGCCCCAGCCCCACATATCTCAGCAGCTGAGGGCCAGTCTGCTGAGGTAGCT